ACATGAACACGACATGCAAACGCCATGAAAGTAACATGAAAATATTTGAAAATACATCAAAAGAAATGAAAAGACATGACAACGACATGAACACGACAGGCAAACGACATGAAAGTAACATGAAAATATTTGAAAACAACATCAAAATAAATGAAAAGACATGACAACGACATGAACACGACATGCAAACGACATGAAAGTAACATGAAAAATTTGAAAATAACATCAAAAGAAATGAAAAGACATGAAAACGACATGAACATGACATGCAAACGACATGAAAGTAACATGAAAATATTTGAAAACAACATCAAAAGAAATGGAAAGACATGGAAACGACATGAACACGACATGCAAACGACACGAAAGTAACATGAAAATATTTGAAAATAACATCAAAAGAAATGAAAAGACATGAAAACGACATGAGCATGACATGCAAACGATATGAAAGTAACATGAAAATATTTGAAAACAATCTCAAAAGAAATGAAAAGACATGGCAACGACATGAACACGACATGCAAACGACATGAAAGTAACACGAAAATTTGAAAAAAAACATCAAAAAGACATGAAAATACATGAAAACGATATGAACACGACATGCAAACGACATGAAAGTAACATGAAAATATTTGAAAATAACATCAAAATCAAAAGAAATGAAAAGACATGAGCACGACATGAACACGACATGCAAACGACATGAAAGTAACATGAAAATATTTGAAAATAACATCAAAAGAAATGAAAAGACATGAAAACGACATGAACATGACATGCAAACGACATGAAAGTAACATGAAAAATTTGAAAATAACATCAAAAGAAATGAAAAGACATGGAAACGACATGAACACGACATGCAAACGACACGAAAGTAACATGAAAATATTTGAAAACAACATCAAAAGAAATGAAAAGACATGAAAACGATATGAACACGACATGCAAACGACATGCAAACAACATGAAAGTAATATGAAAAAACATCAAAAGAAATAAAAATACATGAAAACGACATGAACACGACGTGCAAACGACATGAAAGTAACATGAAAATATTTGAAAACAATCTCAAAAGAAATGAAAAGACATGAAAACGACAAAACACGACATGAAAGTAACATAAAACTATTTGAAAATAACATCAAAAGAAATGAAAATACATGAAAACGACATGAACACGACATGAAAGTAACATGAAAATATGGAAAACAACATCAAAAGAAATGAAAAGACATGAACACGACATGCAAACGACATGCAAACGACATGAAAGTAATATAAAAATAACATCAAAGAAATGAAAAAGACAAGAAAACGACATGAACACGACATGCAAACGACATGAAAGTAACATGAAAATATTTGAAAACAACCTCAAAAGAAATGAAAAGACATGAAAACGACAGAACACGACGACATGAAAGTAACATAAAACTATTTGAAAATAACATCAAAAGAAATGAAAATACATGAAAACGACATGAACACGACATGAAAGTAACATGAAAGTTATATGAAAATAACATCAAAATAAATGAAAAGACATGAAAACGACATGAACACGACATGCAAACGACATGAAAGTCATATGAAAATATATGAACATAACATCAAAAGAAATGAAAAGACATGAAAACGACATGAACACGACATGCAAACGACATGAAAGTAACAAGAAAATATTTGAAAATAACATCAAAAGAAATGAAAAGACATGAAAACGACATGAGCACGACATGCAAACGATATGAAAGTAACATGAAAATATTTGAAAACAACATCAAAATAAATGAAAAGACATGACAACGACATGAACACGACATGCAAACGACATGAAAGTAACATGAAAAATTTGAAAATAACATCAAAAGAAATGAAAAGACATGAAAACGACATGAACATGACATGCAAACGACATGAAAGTAACATGAAAATATTTGAAAACAACATCAAAAGAAATGGAAAAACATGGAAACGACATGAACACGACATGCAAACGACACGAAAGTAACATGAAAATATTTGAAAACAACATCAAAAGAAATGAAAAGACATGAAAACGATATGAACACGACATGCAAACGACATGCAAACAACATGAAAGTAATATGAAAAAACATCAAAAGAAATAAAAATACATGAAAACGACATGAACACGACGTGCAAACGACATGCAAACGACATGAAAGTAATATAAAAATAACATCAAAGAAATGAGAAAGACAAGAAAACGACATGAACACGACATGCAAACGACATGAAAGTAACATGAAAATATTTGAAAACAACCTCAAAAGAAATGAAAAGACATGAAAACGACAGAACACGACATGAAAGTAACATAAAACTATTTGAAAATAACATCAAAAGAAATGAAAATACATGAAAACGACATGAACACGACATGAAAGTAACATGAAAGTAATATGAAAATAACATCAAAATAAATGAAAAGACATGAAAACGACATGAACACGACATGCAAACG